GACCTCCTAAAATGTGATCGAACACGCCTCCAGGTTTGAAAGAAGTGAACCAACCCTCTGCGCACTTTGGGTGGGTCGACTCGCCCTCACTGTAGCGCAGTTCAAATTTTGAGCTGCGGCTCGAACATGGTAACTTTTAAGTACGAGAGCAGTACGTGAAGCGCACTTTTCCGGATGCGATTCGAAAATCGCAACTTTAAAGCGCGAGAGTTGTGCGCAAAGTACACTTTTCCGGCTGCGGATCGAGCATCGCACTTTCCAACAGCGAAATTAGATTGGAGAAGGGGAGAGACACAAAGAAAGGAGCGGGAGAAAACAAAAATAAAACTCAAAAGGGAAAAGAAGAGGTGAGAGAAGAAGAGAACAGAGAAAAAAGAAAAAGACAAGACAAAAGAGCGAGAGAAGAGAAGAGAGAGGAGAGAGACGACAAAGAGAATGAAGAGAGAAAAGAGGGGAAAGAGAAGAGAGAAGACGAAATGAAAAGAAGAAAAGAGAACGAAGAAACATTACAAAAAAAGAACCAGAGAAGAGAGAAACATATTCGAGAGAAGGCAAAAGAAAAAAGAAGTGAGAGGAGAAGAGAAGATAAACAAGAGAGAAAAAGAAAGAGAGAGAGAGAGAGAGAGAAGAGAGGAAGAGAGGGAGAGAAAAGAGATGAGAAGAGAGAGGATAGAATAGAGAAGAGAGAGGAAGAGATGAGAGACGCGAGAGAAGCGAGAGAAGAGAGAAAGAGAGAAGAAAAAAGAAGAGAAAAAAGAGAAGAACATACAAAAAAGAAAGAGAAAGAAGACGAGAAGAAAGAAGAGAGACAAGTTAGAGAGAAAGAAAGAAGCTAGAACAAAGAGGACACAAGAGAGAAGACAAAGAAGACAGAGAGGATCGGAAAAAAAACAAGAGAAGCAGAAGAAGAAGAGAAAGAAACGAAAGAGAAGAGAGCGGAGAGAGAGGAGAGAAGAGAAAGAAGAGAAGAGAGAAGAGAGAGAAGACAAAAGAAAGAGAGCAGAAAGAGAGAAAAGGGGTAAGAAAAGAAGAGGGAGAAGAAAGAGAAGAAAGAGAAGAAAGAAAAGAAAGAGAAGAGAGAGGAGAGAAGAGAAAGAAGAGAAGAGAGAGAGAGAGAGAGAGCGAGTGAGTGAGTGAGTGAGTGAGTGAGTGAGCGAGCGAGTGAGAGCGAGAGCGAGAGAGGAGAGAGAGAGAGAGAGAGAAAGATAAAGAGAAAGAGAAAGAAAAAGAGAAAGAACAAGAGAAAGAAAAAGAGAAAGAAAAAGAGAAAGAGAAAGAGAAGAGAGGAGAGAAAGAAGAGAGAGGAGATAGCGAAGACAAAAAATAGAAAGAAGAGAGAGAACAGAGAGCAGAGACAGAGAAGTGAAAGGAGAGAAAGGAGAGAAGACAGAGAAGAAAAGCAGAGACAGAGAAGAGAGGAAGATAGCGAAGAGAAAGAGCGAGAAGAAGAAGAGGAGAAAGAAAAAAAGGAGAAGAGAAAAGAAGAGATGAGAGAACAAGAAGAGATAGAAGAGGAGATTAGAGAAGAAGAGGAGAGAGAAGAAGAGATAGGAGAAGAAAAGGAAAAAAAAACAAAAAAAAACGAGAAGAAAGAAGAGAGAAGAAGAAGAGAGAAGAAGAGGAGAGAAAAAAGTGAAAAGAGAGAAGGGAAGAGAGAAGAAGAGAAAAGAGAAGAGAGAAGAGAGACTGAAGAGAGAGAAGAAGAGATGAGAAAAGAGAGAAGCAAGAAGCGAAAGAGAAGAACGAAAAACAAGAGAATAAAAGAGAAGAGAAGAGAAGAAAAGAGAAGATAAGCGAAAAGAAAAGCGATACTGGCCCGAGAAAGGAGATGAGAAAGAAGAGAAAGAAATCAATGAAGAGAGAAAGGAAAGACAGCAGAAACAAAAGAAGAGAACGAAAAGAGAGGGGATAGAGAAGACAGAAGAAAGAGAAAAGACAAAGAAGAGAGAAAACACAGAGAAAAAAGACAAGAGAAAGAGACGAGAGACAAGAGAGAGAGAGAGAGAGGAAAAGAGAGAGAGAGAGGAAAAGAGAGAGAGAGAGAGAGAGAGAGAAGAGAGAGAGAGAAGAACAGGAAAGAGAAGAAGAAAAGGGAGAAGAAGAGGAGAGAAAAGGAAGAAGAAGAAGCGAAAGGAAAAAGAACAGAGAAGAGAGAAGACGAAACGAGAGAAGCAGAGGAGATGAGAAGGGACAAGAAGTGCAGAAAGAAGAGAGAAGAGGAAAGAGCAGAGAGAAGAGACAACAGAAGAAAGGAAGAGAAGAGAACTGGAGAGGAGAGGAGAGGAGAGGAAAGAAGAGACGAAAAGTAGTACACGAAGGGGCTGCAGCTCGAAAGTTGTACTTTTCAAGTACGGGTATAGTATGTAAAGTACATTCCGGGAGCTGCGGCTGGGAAATCTCATTTTTTACTAAGAACGAAGTACGCAAGGAACATTCCGGGAGCTGCCGCTGGAGAATCGCAGTTTTCAGTACGAATGAAATACGCGGAGCTGTAGCTCGAAGATCGCATGTTCTAAGCACGAAAATATTACTATGCAAAGTATATTCCGGGAGCTGTACCTGCTTGGCACGGCCTTGATTGGAATCTCTCTGCTCTTGATCCATCTGCCGAAATCTCTTGAAGGTGGTCCGTCAGGTTCTCCCTGGTAAGTGAATGCAATGGATGAGCGGGCCTTCGCAGAAGCGAATATTGCTGCCACAAACATGAGTCCTCTGATGCCAGGGTAGGAACGAATCTTCGGGTTTGCTTCAATTACGCGGGGCAAAAGAATACTTCCATCACGCTCTTGCTGAAGTAGATTGTGCCGGGAATGTTCCTTTGGGTCATGGCGCAGAGCTGCGGTGAATACTCGGATCAATTAGGCGGATATCCGTCGTTTCTGTTGTAGAGCTTTGCAAGAGCCCTCACATCACGATGTGTCTTGGGCAGGTCAACCAGTCAACCTCCCCTTGGTAATTGAATACTGTTGCAACTATCTTCATAGGCCAACTGGCCGGAGTATCTCGAAGTTGCTTGAAGATGTCACGCAGGTTCTTCTTGAGCGTATCGTGTTGGCGGAGGGTCGGCCTCCAATATGACCCCATTGTTTGGAGAACTGGATGCCACAAGGTGAACTACAGTCTCGTGAATTTCTTGGTTTGTGTGTGAAGCTGGATTCACCTCGTGCGTGGATCCGCATCCCTGGTAATTCCTAGCGATCTCGGCCACGCGCGTATCCGCGAAGCTGTTGAATGGATGGTTCGGTGGAAATCCTTTCTAGTATTTTGGAACTCTGGAAACATAATCATCATCGGCGTCATAGTCTGGAGTCTCATCTTCCGGTTCATCTGCGCCATGAAGAGATTCTTCTGGTTCTCCATTTGCTCGAATCTGCTCTTCTGCAGATATGTCCGCCTCTTCTTGAGCATATTGCATCCTCATTGTCCAAGCCGGATTTCTCCTTGCAGGCGGAGATGATCCACCGGGGCCTCAAGGTCCTCCTGACCCAGACCTGCTGCGCCGCCAACCCACAGAACCCTCGCTTCCACTCAAGAAAATTGCGTCTACGTCATTAGCCATTTTGGTTTCAAGTGCGCTTGACATAGCGAGCTACAATCGTTGGCGGCCATGTGGAGAGCTTTCCGCTGACGGCAGGAGGAAAGTGAGGGGGAGAAGCCGCCGGACTGTGGCCTCCCTTATGGTCGATTGGCGTGGGCCGAATCGTTGGCGCTTCTTTGAAAGACATGCGGTTTTGTGAGAACTGCCACCGTGAAGGATTGTAGCAGTTCCAGTCACCTGGAAAGACCCAACGTCTACCCGGCGCGCTGACTTGCCAATGGAACACACATGCGTCATCCGGTTGCGCTAGTCAACGCCGATTGCGCGGCGCTACGTGACGCGCGTGTTGTAAGGTATGTGAGGCACGCAAACATACCTGAGTCGTCTGGCACCGACTCAGGTAAATTGAACTATTGAATGTGAGGTTCTGGCTACCTCAAGATCAAGTTCAGTTCCTTGTGGGAGCTGTTTCGTCGCTCTCTGAAGTTTATGAACTGCAGCGTCGCTGATGCGCAGTGGATCTACCTGGTTGTTGCAGGGTAGATCTTGGATGTTGGCACGAGTGCTGGCACTCGTCATGTTGCACTCTTTGTCGGTCCTCTCGAGATCTGATCGAATGTTGGATCCGAGAATGGCTTTATCTAAGGGGGAAGAACGTGTGCCATTTTCTGACAGAATGAGAACGGATGTGTTTGGGCAAGGTTCGTGCGTGTTGGGGCTGGATTATAGATGGGTCAGAGATGCTTCAATGGGTGGGATGTGTGAATCGAGATATGCGCCGTGTGGAACTGGGTGCTCCGCTCAGGTACCTTGATTTGTTGATTGCAGCCGCGCAAAGCTTCTTCCCTTCTGCAGCGCTGCGCGGGCCTCTCAGCTCATGGAAGAAACCTCGCCTGGCGCCAACAAGCCCAAAAGGCACCATGAGGACTTGTTTCCCTGCGCGTTTCAGGAGGCAACTATCAAGCAGGGTGAGTTACTTGCGTGAGGCCAGGGACAACGCCGTGGCTCATATCTGTGGCGCGCAAAAAATGCTCTGGTTCTGTGTCATTCGGTCAAAACACAAATGAAGGGGCCGCGGAATCCAAATAATCTTTTCTGGCGCTTTGTGGGGCCGCGCGCAGTTGTGGGCAAGCGTGGAATCACAGAGTCACAGAGCCTCGCCCAGCTTGTTGACGCAAAAAGCGTAAAAAACCCGCAAAAGGAAGCCAAGGGTAGTATTCCAAGAGCATCAGCGCAGGAAAACCTCTTAAAGGGCTGTGGCCAAAGAAAAGCAACTGCATCATGCGCCTCTTTTGCTTCAGCTGCACCCCAAGAAGAAAATGCGCACGCCTCTCAGTAAACGCCTAAACATAGCCCGATTGCGAAATCTGCAGCCAGCGACGCCGGAAAGCCACGCTTCAAGAAGCTGGCAGCTTCCTGTTTACAAGCAGAAACTGAGATAAGCTTCGGCTGAGGCCGCAGCGCACGTGGGCACAACGTCGGCCTTCAGGAACATCTCGAAAAGGACCTGGTGCGGACAGGCCCAACAATGGCTGCTCAAGCCGACGATAGTATTAGACTGCGAAAGTCAAGGCAAGCTTGATCGAAAGCCACAATGAACATGTCCAGTTGCCCCCCTAGAAGCTGCAAAATCATTTGCAGAGCTGAAAACGTAAAACGGGTAGGCAAAGGTGGTGTCGAGCAGTGGGCAAAACACACTAAACCAACACTACGCACTCCTCAGCGACACTGCGACAACAAAGGCCATAAACAAACTGGGGCTTGCCTGGGCCCAACACCCCCTCCAGCTCAAACTGGGTTGTCTCTATTGTTGGGAGTCGGGCAAGTGCAGCTGGGGCTGTCAAGTCAGCCCTTCAGCGTAATGAGGGTTTGGAACAAGCGCACCCGCGGCCCCAGTCTTCACACAGCTGATGGAAGCTGTGGCTCCGGCAGAATAGCCTGGCATGAGGGAACGGCAGGGCAACGCTTCACAAACCCGCTCCTGACAGCACAACCATGTGGTGTGGAAAGAAACAACAGCGTTGTTGATATGAGAGTTGTTTTCAACTCTCGGGGCTGCTGCACTGATGGGAAGGCTTGTTGTTGTTGTTGTTGTTGTTGTTGTTGTTGTTGTTGTTGTTGTTGTTGCTGTTGTTGTTGCGGCTGCTGTTGCGGTTGCGGTTGTGATTGTCGTCATCGTGGTTGTTGTTGCGTGTTGTTGTTGCTGCTGCAGTTGCAGTTGCAGTTGCAGTTGCAGTTGCGGTTGCGGTTGCAGTTGCAGATGTTGTTGTTGTTGTTGTTGTTGTTGTTGTTGTTGTTGTTGTTGTTGTTGTTGTTGTTGTTGTTGTTGTTGTTGCGATTGTCGTCGTCGTCGTCGTTGTCGTCGTTGTCGTCGTCGCCGTCGTTGTTGTCGTCGTCGTCGTTGTTGTTGTTGCTGTTGTTTTTGCTGTTGTTTGGTTGTCATTGTTCTTGTTCTTGTTACTCCCCTTGCCGTTGTGATTGCTGTTGTTGCAGTTGTTGTTGTTGGTGGTGGCAGACGGCCGTTACGCCGCCCCTAGCAGCAACTCCCTAAGATCCGCGCGGCTATCCCCCACGCCTGTCACGCATGCCCGGGTCCGCAGTTCCGGAGTTTGTCCACGAGGGCGATTCTTTTGCACGTTCCGCACGCGCGGCCCACGGCAGGCACACCTGCCCACGCTTGTCTCGCTGGATGCGCCCGCGCGCCTCGTTCAATGCACCCACGCCTGGCGCACGGCGCCTCTGGCACATGGTAAGCACACCCGCCCATCCTCGCTCAAATGTGTCCACACCGCATGGTAACGACACGCGTCTGGCTCAAATCTAGGCGCGTGGTAGGCATACCCGTCCAGGAGCAATTCGCTCACACGCACCCACCCACGCCCACGCGGGTCTCGCTCGAAGACAAGCCTGAAACAACCAGGTCCCCTGGATTTGCGAGTGCTTTCCGTGAAAGACCTGGCCTTGTCGTCGCATGATTGTGTTGACCCGCGCAGCGAGCAGGAGACATGTGTTAGTTCGCAACGTTGCTCCAAGCAAGCGAGGCATCATAGAGCTGCGCTACAAAGACAAGACATAGTATCATGCTGTAAGTTGTTACAATTGAGATATCTTAGAGCAGTCCCGTGTTTAAGAACAAAATACGGTACCCACTGGTGGTGTGGAAAGCACCTTCCTGTTCAGGCCCTTTCAAAAACAATCCTTTTGCTGCAGCCAACACGCGGTGCTATTGCGTTCCTGTGAGCCCGGCCAGCGTTTTCGCAGTTTTGAAGACAAAGGGTTCTGCGGTTGTCAGTTGATGGTTGCGGTTGCTGTTGCGGCCGCGGCGGCTGTTGTTGGTGGTGTTGTCGCGGTTGCTGCTGCTTTTGCTGTTGCTGTTGCTGTTGCTGCTGTTGTCGTCGTCGTTGTTGTTGCCGTTGTGGCTGCGGTTGAGGTTGTGGAGGTTGTTGTCATCGTCGTCATTGTCGTCGTTGTTGTTGCCGCCGTGGTTGTGGTTGCGGTTGTTGTTGCGGTAGCCGTGTTGTTGGTCTTGGTTTGTTGTTGCTGCTACTGGCGTTGTTGCTGCTACTGTCATCCTCCTGCTGCTGCTGGTTGTTGTTGGTGGTGGTATTGTTAGTGCAGTGGTGGTGGTTGCTGCTGTTGATGATGCTTGCTGCTGAGGCCGCTGTTGGTTGGTGTGCGTTGTTTGTTGTTTGTTGTGTTGCTGTTGCTGTCGCTGTTGGTGCTGCTGTTGCTGTTGCTGCTGTTCCTGCCGCTGTTGTGGCCTGCTGCTGTTGTGGCTGTTGTTGCTCTTGTTGTTGTTGGTTGTTTGTTGTTTGTCGTGAATCGTTTTTGTTGTTTGTTGTTTGTTGGTGTTTGTTTGCTGTGTGTTTGCTGTTTGTTGGTTTTCGGTTGTCGGTTGTCGTTGGTTGATTCTCGTTGGTGGTGCTTTTGTTCTTGCTGTTTGTTGTTTGTCGTTTCTTGCT